AACTCTGCAAATGCACTACAATCCCAAATATTCATCCACTTCACTCAAAATATCTTTCTCTATATCTTCCCCACTCCTGGAAGAGAGAGAAAGGGGTTCCCACCATGCTTTCCTCCTTCTGCAGTTTTATTCCACACCCAGTTCTTCAGGAACCCTGCTCTAACCCTCCTGAGCCACCTCCAGTCTTCATCTCTCCACTGCCCAACTTTCCCATGGCTAAAACACAAGGAGAGAAAACCTCATTTCTCCCCATAAAGGAAATCCTTTCTCAACCTTGCTACATCCTCAATTCACTCTTCTCTTCATCACCAAATTTCTCCAAGGAACAGCTTTACAATCTCTTTCCTTTCTTTACCAAAACTCATGAGCTTAACCACATGATCTGAATTTCACCTCCACATGCTTAAGGAAAACTGTAAAAAGTTCTCAGAGGCCATCATGGGTCTTCCCACACATCAATCCCATGTCTCAAGTCTAGATTGGTGCTGGTGTCCAGAGCCGCCACGATCCGGTTCCTAACAGTCACTCTAGGCCTCTCTTTGGCTAGTTTTCTTCACATCCCCATGGGTTTCACAGGTTCAAAACTTACCTCTCAAAACTTGATCATTCTTCTAAGGGCTCTCCCTTTCATAAAGCTTGCTCCTATTTGTACCAGTTAATACTTCTTCATACACACTGCCTCCTATCATATGTGCACACAAGTTATCCTTCTTAACTATGCAAAACCTCTGTAGGGGTAAAAGTCATGCCTTATTCTTCTATTCCCATAGGGCCAGGACCAGAACAAGGCAAACAGAGTGCGTAGGGAGCAAACTTTGAGATGCACTCATTCTCAGGTTTGTGTAATTGTTGAGTGAGCACTTAAATTTCATATCTCCTTTGCTTCACCCTGGCCCCGCCCTGGTAACTAGTGATGTCCCTTCAACATAGAATAAGAATGAATGAATCTGTTATATAAACCAATGAATCAGTAAGATGACAACAGCATAAGTACTTTGGCGATGACTACTTATCTTTGTTGGAAATGAGATTGGAGACAACAGGCATAATAAGCGCCATCATAGTCAGGGATTCTAAGATTAACTGTGGCGATGGTCGTTCAACTCTGAACATACTAAACACCAATGAATTGTAAATTATTTATTTTAGCCATACCAGGAACAACCTGAGGATGAAACCAATAAGAGAGGAACAAGACAGAGACAAGAGAAAGTCAAGCGAGGGGAGCTAGAACCCTGAACTACCTAC